AATACCCTCAGGGTATTTTAGCAAAACCAGCAGAAGCACTGGAAGATATTTGTGCATCAAACGTGCATTACGAAAACTTAATTTAATGTTTGTGACACTGGAATACATTTCAGTGCTGAGTTGAATGTACATTTGTGTTGGAGATGGCCCAGAGGTAAAAAACTGCTTCTGCAGCACACCTTTGGTCTTGTGTTGTAGTTTCTCCTTGAAGAGAAAGAGAAATCAAGAGGAAGAGGACAGGCTGAATAAATTGGATTTGGATCTAGATTCCAGACTTTTCAATACCTCTTTTAATAGGCTGTTGCTTAAGTAAAATTGGATACCTTTGATTTTCTTACAAATTCAACTGTAGGAGCAAGAAGGGATTCYTTSCTTTGCTGATCACAGCCACACACTTTGGCAATAAAGGCCAGATAATGGTAGAGAGTTTTCTAAGCAAAAATAAACAAAACTGTTCTGGGTGTCAATATTTGCTTTCTTCCATTCTTTTTCTGAGGCTTTATTAAAAATAAGTTGCTTCTTGAAGCATGCAAAACACAACAACTCAGAGATCATCCCTGCACTTTGGGGTGCTTTGCTCCTCTTCCCTGCAGAGGAAGAAGGCTGGGCTCCTCTCTCCAGCCCAGCCCTCAGGAGCAGGCAGAGCTTTGCTGTCAGCAGATGGTGCACTCTTCGGGAATAGAAACGAGAAATACWTTCCAGAGGGTGTCTGGCACTATGGCAGCCTTGTCTGGAATCAGTTAGGAAGAGGACAAGGTCTTTGGTTGGTGTCTCCTTGCAATGTCAACTTTAGCTTGTTGGAAACATCCCAGCTCATACTCAGAGATGGTTCTGTCCCCGAAAAACTCTTTGTTATGATATCACTGTTGGCTTTCGTCTACAAATTACTGTACAACTTAAATGTCAGTATTCAAAACTTGAAGTGCACAGGATTTACTCAGCCAGAAGCACAAATGAAATTTAGTTTGGGCTCCTGGCAGGACTTGCTTTCACATTTATCAAACTGACATTCAAACCAAAGAAGTAAAAATRCAGCTAAAATATCAGGTGCTGTTGAATGCCTGGAGAAACCATGGCAGGAGTGCTGCTTTTCTTTCCCTCTTATAATCAAATTTATCTACACTTCTGAACAAACAGCTGCATGAAGTATTTAGTGGTTCTTTCTTTTTTCCCTTGGATCTGGGTTTGCATCTGAAACAAGCCGAGAGCTCAGCCAGCTTGGCCAGAGTGTTTGTGGCTTGTGCAAATCCTTTCATGYTCACAGTATCTGGGATGTTCAAATGCAGGCTCTAAAGCCTTGCTGGGCACCCCAGGTGTGTGAGTGAGCCAGACAGGAAAGAWTCCAACTTCTAAAAGACTGTCTTGTCCAGTAAAGGCAGTTCTCAGCTTCAGTCTTTTTTGACTTTTAACAGGGGGCAGTAACTCAGTTCCTGCAAATAGTAGGGCTTGCTCAGGGCAGGTATGCCCAAGTGCTCTTCCTTTTCCAAATTCTCATCTTGTAGCTCAACAGGATGAAAAAGCTGTCTGTGCTTTTGGCATCTGTCACATTAAACCAGTTCTTAAAATTAAACCAGTTCTTAAATGAACTGTTGATATCTTATTTGCAAACGCTGTTTTTCTGAAGCTGTTTTCCCTCCAAGTGGAATCTTCTACCTTTCTTTTTCATGTTTTCTAGCCTCTTCTGCCTGATGTTTTTAAACTGTGTCACAGTGTTGGAATGTTCTCTGTCAACCCTTCCTATTCCAGCTTGTATTGTTGCTGTTCTGCTTGGCACCTGTAAAGCTCAGCATGCCTCAGGCTGGCAGATGTTTCCAGATGCAGCACTACAGGAGAGGTTCATCCTCATCCCAGCTGCTCAAAGGGATTCCGTGCTCCTAATGCTTTTTCCCCTATATTAATTTGAGATGTCAAAGGAGGAATATTTCTGATACCCTGTCTCAGACCCTCATGTACCCACTTGGCAAAGGAAGGTTTTGGAGAAGCTGGAGGATTTGGATCTTTAGGTGCACATCCTCTCTTATTTGTTTCCTGAAGATGGAGCCCTATTTATAGACAATATAGCCCTATTTATTTATTTATTTATTTATTCATTTATTTCACTGGTGTGCTCCCATGGGAGAAGGGAAGGGGAAGAAATGATACAACAGAACAGCAACATCTTTATTCAGATGGAGAAAAAACTAACAAGACTCCCTGAGTAATTAGAAAGTGGAAGTGGGGCAGTATTTCAAGTTGTGGGGCTTTTCCTTATCCAAAATGAAAGCTATTTTGGTTTTGGGTCATTGCCACAAACCACAGGAGCAACAAAGGGGATTTTTTTTTCAGGCGTATTCAAAACTTTGGGAAGGAAATTTTAAGTCATCTTCAAAATCCCAGAAAAAGAACGGGAAAGGGGGACAAATGTGGCCCATATAGCAGAAAATTCTGCTAGCTTCAAAAGAAAAATAACAATCCTGATAAAGGAAAGGGCATTAGAAAAAACACCCTAATATAATTTTTTTTCCTCAAGTTGGGGTTCACATCATCAGAAGTGGGAGCCATGGTTTATGCCTGTAAGAATAGCAAAGCATACTGTGTTCACCTCCTTCTTTGTCTTTTGCTGCTGAAGATATCATCTTTCAGGTTGAAACATCCTATGCTCAGCTGATTTTTGATGAAAAGATAAAAATGTTTTGCAATTGAGAAGAGGAAAATAAACATTTCCTCTCTTCTTGAGCTGATGCAATAAAGGGAGGTGTGTGTGGTTTAGAATGGGTGTGTAGCTAAAACAACCACAAAACCGGAAGATTATCTGTGATTGTAGAGCAGTGTTGTCTTTATCCTTGGTTTGGATTTCTCTCTCCTTCAGAGTGTAGGGTGAACTGCAGTAGCAATGTGTTGCATGTGACACTTCACCTCACCAAGCTGCAACCCGAAAAAACAGGAATCGTTTTTGCAGAATGAGACAAATAGGAAGGAAGGAGCATCATGGAAAATGCGGATTTGTTACAGTTCTTCTGCTTAGATTTTTGTCAGCTTTAACTAAATAATTACATGGAAAGTTTCTCCAGTTCCATGTGTCATTTTGAACAGGAAAGGAGAGAAGTAGGTCGGGCAGAAACGCCAGATCCGGGAGGTCCAGCAGCATTGGATGGCTGATTCACTTCAGGCTGTGGAGAAAGGATTTTCAGGAGAATTAATAACCTTCAGATCTTCTGAGAGATATTCTTGGTCTACTGAATAAACTACCATGTAGTTCTGGCTGTCATTACTTCAGATTAAGTAGAGTAAGGGCATTTCACAGGTGAGCAGCTTCCAGCAGGAACGTGAGGCATCTGTTTAAGCATCAGCCTCAGTTATGAGCTCTGGTTCTTGGGCTTGAGATGCTGCCAGTSGTACTGATGCTTTCATTGGCAGAGWAGAAATGTGATCTCATAAAACCTAGTATGTAGTGGAGATTGTTTCTGTAAAATTGGATAGGCCTGGTGTTGCCTGATAGGAGATTATGAATAAGCCATCCAGCTTTCCATGCAGTAGAAGCAATGAGACATTTGGATATCAGTGTAAAAGGGCAGCAAGGAAACTCTTAAGTACTTTTCTGCCCATTGGCACAAGTGAAAACAGAGCCCATAACATTCCTGCTGCCCTCATTCTGTGCTGCTGCCTAGAAACCTGGAGGAGAGGAGGCATTCRAAGCAACATCAGCCTGGGTCTAGGATTATCCTGACTCCTGTGGTTCAGAACATCACACAATTACTCACAAGGACACCTGGGTTACTACTAACAGCAGTGCAAAAGTGTTGGCAAAAGGGAGGGAATTTCTAGGCAGCTCTGCCTTCTGCTTAGTTGTGGAGTATTTCATCTGCCCTCCTTGCTAGGTTTTGTCTGTCTCTACTTGTATTAGTTGCCTGTTGCAAAGTGATGCCATATAAAACCAGGAAACACTCCCCTGCAGGGTTTATGCTCTGCTGCTCAGGAGGGGTGGGGTATAAATTAAAATACACTCTGTGGGCTGTGGTCAGCATGAATGGCAAAGATCTCATCGGTGTTCTGGGGCCTTGTGGCATTTTTGTGTTTTTGCTGTGTTGCTGCTGGTGATGCTCTGCTGTTGTCAGCCAAGGTTAGGACTTGGATTTGTAAACATTCATATTTCAGGAAGCAACCATGTTATGAAAGAGGAAAGCCAGCCTCTGGAGAGAAGAAACCAAAGTTTTGCTTCCATGCTTTCGAGAGTTCTCCCTTGTAACTCTCCCTTGTGCCCAAGGGTGCAGATGTGGTGCAGCGGTTGTGTGGTTGTGTTTCCAGCTCACGTGTGCAGTGCTGCTGCCTCTCTCTGCATGGAGAGCAGCACAGACACTCCTGTGCTGGCTGGCTCAGCAGCCCTCAGGCCAGGATCCTTCAATCCATGCAAGCACACACCAGACCAGCAGGGTGTCTGGCACCTCAGCCTGCTGCCAAAGGGGCCCTTAGCCCTGCCAGTTGTTCCAAATCCAAGCAGAATTGAACATATTTAAGTTTGTGTGCAGTTCTGGTAGATGTCTGGCATAACATTGCAGGCTTGCAGCTGCATGGAATTTGATAGCTAAGTTTTCCTTACATATTGTATTCATATAAACTATGTAAATTGTACTTTGAGGCTGATGAAAGTTAAAGTTTGGTAGTGCTTTGATTTGAACGTAGGTAATTTTCTTATGCCTGTAGACGTGGGTTACAAGCAGAGTGTTCTTAGTTTCATCAGGTGAAGCTTATGTGGGGGAATGTGAAAACCAGAGCATCAAAATCCTTCAAATAATTAAAACTGAAAAAGAACAGAATTGCTTGTCTTACTACTGCTTCTTTGAACAATGATATTATAATTACACAAGATATCAGTTTTTTACATTAGCTATGACATTAACCTTATCCATGCAATGTAACAGCAGCCAGAAACTTCTCCACCTGAATATGTAATGCCCTGCAGTAAGGTTCCTTTCAGACCCCATGTTTGTGATGCATTTTGCTATGTTTATTATGTTTTCCAGTGTATTTGAAAAGGATCCCAATGGAGTTGATTCCACTGTGAGTTCTAACCACCGGACCAGAAATCTCCTGGAGTTCTCGGCTGGTCAGGAGTCCAACACAGCTCAGAAAATACCTGAGGGCATCATTCCTGAGAAGAGTGATAGGTAAGATGAGAACYTTTAAYGTATTTTAGGTGGCAAAAGGCAKTGRTGCTTTTAGCCCTCATTGCCTTTCTCACCTTTTTGGCCAGTGCTATTGCTGCTTTTACAGAGTAGCTGAGTTTTAAACACAGTGTTTTGAAAGCTGCTCTGTTTGCTTTTCAAATGAATATGGTGTTTTATCTCCAAGAGTACCCAATTCCTAGAGCTTCAGGGGTGTACACGTGGCTGTGCTGCACAGTGTTAGTGAAGAGCACATCTACAAGTGCATGCCACTGAGACTTTCAGGATCTTCCTTAGTTCATCTGTTTGCTTTTTTCCACTGATCTGTATTTTAGCTTGCATAGTTGTGATATTTGTCATATTATCTGTGTCTTCTTGCTTTTCAAGTTGGAGTATTTATTTTCTTAGTTGCTCCAGAGAAGACTTGGGAAGTTCACAACTAAGAACACGCTCTGAACTTAGCACCGTACTTTTTCATTTTAAAAAAAAATCCATCTGAGTCCATCCTTGTGCTTATCCATTATTTAATAAAATACTGGCTTTCAGGCTTCCTAGATCTCTAGCATGCAGTGCATAAGTGAACATATAATTGCCTCCAGATTGAAGTCTGGCTAATACAGCTCATGTTTTCCCCTTACAAGATTTATCCTATTAGACTGTCCCTTTCCAGTAGAGTGTTTTGGCTGGTTGAACAAAGCCAGGCACAGATGTGCAGAAAGCCCTAATGTATTTTGCCATGCAGCAAGAAGGCAATAAATCAGGAGCATTTTAAGGCTGTAGCCATGGTGAGGGCTCTGTGTGGTACATTTCAGACCATGACCTATGGGACATAAGCAGAGTGTTTCTCTTAGGAGGATGTGCTTGTGCCTGCACCTCCTTTTCTTTCACTGTTTTACCCTGGGTTTGGGAAGCTGTGAGTTCTTTGCCTCATATTCTCCTTTATCAGTCCTAGATGCAGCAGACAGGAGAAGTAGAAAACTGGGAAAGGGAGGGGAATTGAACAAGGCTTTCATAAGCTTTTGTACCTGATTTTTCAGAAGGAAGTTGAGGGTCAGGGCCTAGAAGTCTGTCAAAAACAAAAGGACTAAGGCTGTTACATTGATAACTGTCAAGAGAGAAACCTAGATTAGGTATTTGGTGATAAATAGTTAACCCCACAGGAGGTCCTGAGAGTGTTAAGGATTTTTGTACTGAGAAATACAGGCTCCTTTTCACTTTATCAAAACCAAGCATGATTCTCAAGACAGAGATATAAATCCTCTCCACTAAGTTGTAATTGAGTTTGTGGCTGCTCAATTGTCACATAGCTTATGGTCTTTCTATCTGCTTGGTTTTAGTGGATAATAAATGTAGTGTTTCTGTAGCATATCTTGCACAGCTCTGGAATGAAAAAGAAAGTTGTGTCTGCAGATATCACATAGTTTGCATACTATGAGGAATATTTTACAGACTGCATTTTCTTTCAATATCTGGCCTTCTTGGGAAGGGATCCAACATCTGCTAATGCTCATCTATCTTCCCTGCATCGAGGGCTGTCAGCCCCCTTTGAGGGATTGACTGAGAACATTGGAATTGTTTTTCACCTGCTTCAAAGATCTCATGGGAGCAGCTCTAACATTTGTGGGTCTGCTGATGTTGGTGTTTGTTCTCTGGATTTGGTCAAAGGGTCATGAATAACTGTTTAAAGGGATTTCTTGATGTGCTTTTCTTCATTTTTCCCAGGTATGACCATTCTGTATCTGATAACAAAGCACTAATGATAGTCTCAGAAGAACCACTGTTATATATTTCACCACCGCCGCCCCCCTGCCGGCCTCTGATCAACCGGACAGAGTCACTGAGGTGAGCATTTAAAGTTTATTAGGAGTTGAGAGATAAATTCTGTGTTGGCTGAGTGCTGCTGGACAGCTGTGAGTGATGTTACTGTCCATTCATGGTGTCCATCCAGTACGTGACCAGTGTCTCATACGTGTCTGCACGGTCCAATGTCTGCTGCCATAAGGACAGATCCAATTGGATCTTTGTAATCTTTCCATGGTTTTAGTAATGATTTTGACTTTCTTTTCACACTGGTCACTTGCAATAACTAAATAACAGTTTTCTGATTGTCTGGGAGTTTTTCATTATGTAAAAGAGAAATTGCTTGGTATGTTCGTAATGTGGAAATCAAGTCCAGCTAAAAGCCTTTTTCATAAGAATTATATAAGAGTCTTCTATCCTTCAGCTTTTGATATGGGCAGACTGAGCCTGGTATTGCAGATGTTCTTTGTTTCCTGTTACAAAACACCTATTTCCATTTTTTCCATAGATAGGAGTCACTAACTGTATCTCCATTCTCTCTGTCCATTCTTTCTCTCAGATTTACTTGCTGTAATTTATCTTGAATCAGCTTTTGATTTTAAATTTCAGCAGTCCTTCTAGTGATTTCAAAAGTACTGTTCGTTGGGCAAAAGAAAGGACTGTATCTACCTTATGTGGAAAATATGTGTGCATGAATCTAATACTTTAGAGATAATTCCTTAAAATGTAATCTTACAAGTGTATTTTCTTGTTCTTGTATTTAAAATAAGTTACAAGTAAACCAATAGTAATCTTCAGTGTCTCTATAGTGGCTAAACTGTTGTGTGCTAGTGAAAAATTCTGCTAGTGGTGTTTGCAATCTGTGTTAATGCTGTGGGTTTCCCTAGGCTGACCCACGAGCTGCGAGGATGGGTTCACAGGCACGAGGTGGAGCGAACGAGGTCGCGAAGGCTGTCCAACAGCCAGCAGCAGAAAGCTCGAGTCACACAGGTGAGCCCTTTCAGTGGCAGCACCAGATAATCCCAGAGCACGTGAAATGTTCCCCCTCACTTGTTTGCACTTGTCATTATAGACAAAAGTAGCCATGGTGCCTGTAATTAGGGCACCCGACACTTCCCATTTGAAATTGCTGGGTTTGGTTGACTGTTATGTTGTCAAAGTTGTTCTTCCATTCCTGCTCTTGGATTCAAGAGTAGATGTTTTGAATTTTTTTAGCAGCCGTCAAAATAACTTCTGCATTTTCTAAAATGAAATCTGTAGTTATCCTTTCTAAGGGTTTTCTGTAAGAGTAAAGATAAGCAATTGCTTAGTGGAGAGAAATACGACCTTCAGCACATTCATCTGGCTCACTGTTAAGGGTCACAGCTGATTGTTTTTGTTGAAATATTTCTATTGCTTAAATTTTTGCTAGAGGAATTCCCTTTTTTTCTTTTTTTTTTTTTTTTT